CCCCCCCGGTGGTGGCTATTTTTGCGAGCGGGCAATTGCAAAATGAGCACGCGAGCCGCCCACAATCTGCTAACCGCTAACCGTCTCGCTTCTGAAACATCGCTTCGCCCACGACGCAAATTCCCAGTCGTCGCGGGAACACGATTTCCCCTTCATCAAGTTTCGAATTTCGTTTCGCTCCAGACGCGCCAATGCTGTTAGAGCTAAAATAGTCGGAGAAGCTTTCGAGCCGCTTGTTTTTTCTTTCTTCTCTTCTTTTATCGGATCGTGCGAATGCGCGCGCTGAGTTGCCGTTAATCATTAATCCCTGGACCTTTTTAATCTGAATCTTTTCTGCGTAATCTTTCACGCCAGCCTCCGTGGTTTTCCCATTAGTAAGCATAGGTGATCAATGGGGTTTACATGTAAACATGCGCTGCGTGATGTATGAGAGCGTGCCGTAGATCAATACTCCGCGAAAGTAGATTTTCGCTCGGATCTAGTTTCCTACGCGACGTCCGCTGCGATACTTGCAGACAGCGCCGCAGCGAACGCCGGCGGCCTCCTGAGTACGAAACCGCAATAGTTTCCCCACGAACTGGATATATTATTATTATTATTATTATTAGCTCCTATTTTTCGCAAGTTATGCACTGGCAAATGGAATTGCTTCAGCAGAGACATGATTTCTGGTTCTGTAGATCTGTAAAAACCCGTAGTATTTGTAGATGTAAATCTAGATCTAAATCTGCTAACTTAGTGATCCATATCCCGTAGATTTAAGTCAACTCCGAGTAGATATTCGTAAAATCCAACGCAGTAGCAAATCAACGTGTCCCCTCTTTAACCTTGATCCGGACAAGCGTGGTTCTTTGGGCCTCGAAGTCAGCCTTCCTTGTATTGAGTTGAGAAAAAGCAAAAGTTCGCTCCGTTTAAATTGCAACGCACGTGTTATTTTGAAGTGTTTAAATATATTAAATTAACATCTGTGTTGCAATTTAAGTAGTAAGAGATATATGAAAAAGCTTCAGTTAAGTCACACGCTTATGCGTGTGACAATAACACACTTAGACTTGCAGTATATTTAATTAAGATTGGTTGTATTTTAAAACGAATAAGTGCCATATGTACATTTTGATTAAAAAACAGAAGGAACTTTTGCATTAACTAAATATATTAATCGATGCTCATACTACTGTTATATCTAAAAGTTAGATGCTCTTTTCCGTCTTGATATTATTTTCGCGAGAAACAAAAGAGAAAGAAAAATTAAATAATATATCTTAAAGAGAAATGTAAGGCCAATAAGAGCAAAAGTCTTAATCATTCGAAATTAATTTATTTCGAATTATTTCAGTAATAATATCAGCCAAAACGATCCTTAATTATATCACATTTTGTCTATTCTTTCGCTCACACAAGTTACTTGTGAATATCGTTTTTTAAAAAGATGACAGCTTATCCTTCTAGTTTTCTTAACCGTGAACCGAGGATAATCGAGATCTTGCGCGTCAATTTCAGGACCGTTATGTCAGATTTGAATTTCGTACTCATATTATAAGCACTCAATTTGTAACGGACGTGTCGTTAGCTGGATTTGTTTGGATTTTAAATTTTCCCCTATTCGTGATTTTGATTTGCACTTATTTTGACGTTTATTAATTCCGTTTTTAATGCTTAACTTACATTCATTTGATGTAATAATTCCACTGACAAGGGCCCGAATAAGACTGAAACATTCGGATTTCTTACGCTTATTTAGCAACAATGCTCCTTTCCACACCTTTCAGTTGCTATCGATGGTGCTAGAAAACTTGCGCTTTTATTGGCTCTGTACTCCCCTTTGAGATTGCACATCAAAGAGTTTTCAGAACAATTTTATGTGTATATATTTTAATAAATTTTAAAATATTGCTAAGAAATATTCCCACTTTGACAACTTCGTCCGGCTTTTAAAGCCGTAGCTCGCCCGGATAAGGGTTGAAACGTATTTTGCCGCAGCAGCGAGACGGTTATCAAAGGATACACCGATCTCGGGCTCTTCTCCCTAGCCGTGACACTCTCACGCCAAACGAGGCCGTCGATTTTCTCCTTCCAGGCCACGCGAGAGTGCCCGCGAGGAGAGTGTCGATGCTGGAGCTCGGCACGGCCGACCGGGTGCGCTCGGAGAAGGCGGACGACGGTTCTCACTCCTTGCCCGACTGCTGGAGTGCCCAGAGGATGCGTCTTAACTCCTTCGCCTGCTCGGCCCAGATGCCGAGCCTGTCGACCGCCCTGATCACCTCCTCGTCGGAATCGTCGGAGGACGTGGACGAGGAGGAGGAGAAAGCTTGACCCTTGGGGATCGTCGAGGAGCAGCAGGAGCAGCCGTCCACGTACGCCGCGGACGTCGAGCGCCGGCGACGTCGGCCGCCCTTCCGGCGGCCGCCGCGGCGCTCGCTGCTCAGCTCGCTCCTGCGACGTCCGAGCGCGCCCGTTTGAGAGGACCTACCCTTGACAAGTCGCCTTCTGCGGCGCGGATCGTCCGAGCCTGAATCGGCCTGAATCGCGCCGAACTCGGCGCGAATCGGCGCGCGTCAGCGAATTTCTCGCAGATCCTCGCGCGGAGGACGAACGGGTTCTTGCAATGTCGGGGTTTGCGCGCGAGTGCAGATACGGGGAGAGGCGAATGTTGAGTGTTGCGATTCGAAGGAGAGAACGGAAGATATTTTTCTAAAGGCGCGACAATGAGTCTTCCGTCGCGCGATATCACCCGGTGAACTTCGCTGAAACCGGATCTCTCATTTCGACATCCCCGGTATCGCTCGTGATGAAGAATCCGAGGGTGGTGGGGAAGGCATCCGAAGACGTATCATCACGGCGAAGTGAAGAATTCGAGTGGCCGCTGTCGCTTCGTCCGCACCGCAGGAACGCGTTTGCGAACACGAGGGCGCTTGTCGAGAGCAAGGGGTTATTTCTAAATCCGTCTCTAAAGACGTCATGGAATCGTGGCCTTAAGGACTATGGAAGTACACTTGGACCTCGGCGATGACGCGCTGTCGTCCTCGTCGTCGGCACAATTCACTTGTCGGTGCTATCGGTGAAGGAAGAGAACAGTCTCGCTGAAACCGTAGCGAGTACGTCGCAGGGTTTATCGCGAGCACCTCTTCTCGAGGGTTTATTCGACGACCGCACCGAGTCGTCCGGTCATCGCTGCTTCACGACTCCGGGCTACGGTCGGGCCGTCGACTCGATCCAGTTCGCCCTGGCCAGCTTTTAGCCAGCGTGGAAGTCCGGAACTACTACGTAGAGGTGTTCCTGAAACGTCGTAAAATAGTCACGCTGCAGTCCTCCATGAGACGACGTCATTTTCGACGTATCGATTTGATTTGCCTTAAATCAATGCAATTGAATTTTCGATTTCCGTAACGCTATTAGGGGCTTGCGAAAGTCCGTAGGATCGTCGATCGTTTTACCAAACGATAAGTCATTTTGCAGAACTATCGAATAAACGCCGAACTGTCAAATAAATACCCGAAAGGTGGTAGAAAGTGATGTATATATAATAGGCATTCCGACTAAACTTTGATGGCACGTTGTTTCGTAGCTGTTAAGAGAATACCGACAAAAAGTCCGACCGACTTTTGCAAGCCTCCTGATACTTTCCATGGGAGGCGCTTTTGTTCCCGAGTAAATGATTTGTACCTCTCGTCTTGATACTGAACGTTTTCACCCATCTTGGTGATATCCGCACGGAGAAAAAGATTTCTTTGGATTAAATAAAATCTCTTTGATCGAAGCAAATTTGTCTTTTGGAATGGAACAAACAAACGAATGTTTGATTCAACAAACAGGGTTGTTTGGTTTCTCAAACAATAAATATCTTTGTAATAACACACTGAGAAAAATTTCTTAGTTACCAGAGCAAAAGCTCTTCCGTTACTTGAAGATCTATTAGGGAAAATGATCGAAAAAATTACTACTCGTTCATCATCACTTATTACTTCAACAATCATCAAACTATCACGAAGCCAATACAGAAGTGTTCGTTAAAGCAGCAAATTAAAAATACAAATTATTTACTTTCATTACGTTTGTTGTCTCATATCTATAAATTTATTGTGAGTACTGGCATCTTTAAATGAAAAACAAAAGTTTTTCTTTCGGTGCATACCTTTTGTACTTTCATCCAAACATTACAATGGTTACCGCAAATAATAAATTATTTGAAAGAAATAACACTATGTTAGAAAAAAAATTAAAGAACTTCCTTGTCTCAGTGGAACAATATTTATTATACAACAAAGTGATTTTTTCTATTGGAAACTTCTATTGGAAATTAAATATTTTATCTTTCTATTGGAAATATATTGAATATTCTATTTCTATTGGAAACTAAATAATCTAAACTAAATATTATTTCTTTAAAATACTGTTTTATCTATCAAATAACATGGTGTACTCTATAAGAAAAGCAACATTTTCACTGAAACAAAATGATACTTGATATTAAATTATTCACGTTGTTCATGTTAAACAAACCCAAGTCAAGCAGACACTAAATCCAAAGAAACCTCTGCCTCCGTGTATAAGGACGGAAAGAGATCTTTCGCTCACGTCCTCGATTATCGGTACCGCGGTCCGATCGTAGGATCCGACTGCGTGACCGATTTCCAAAAACAACTGGAACGATAATGAAAATAAAAGTGCGACGCGATGAGGAAGAAGCCGCACGTTTTTCGACCGTTCGGAAACGCTTGTGTTAACGACGGAGCGAGTCGTTAGCCCGGCCGCAGCCTCCCGCAGACGGGAGTTTAGCATTAGGTGCGTTCTATCGTTAGCGGTCCTCGTTGTCGCGATTCTAACGCACGTACGTACGTATTATACAAACGCACGCACGCAGCAGGCAAGCATGCATCGCAGTACACGTCGTGGTGTGCGTAGACGACCCGTAGCTACGCATCCCCAGCCGAATTTAGATCTACCGTAAGCGAACGATCGCGCGCCCGTTCCAGTCGACGATTCAGTCACGGCGAACTCTCTCTCCGATTCCTTCGAGCGGAATTTCACTGGAAAAATGGAACGGCCGAGAACACTCGAGGTCGAGTGACTTTTCACTCACGACCGAAGGGTAAATTTGCCGTGCTCCACCGTGCTCACAGGCACGCAAATTCACTCCGATCGATCGGGGAACATTCACGCTCGCGCAAATGGAGAGTCCACTCCAAGTTCGAGCGAAACACAATTCATCCCGCGTGATTTCGAGCGGGGCGATATTATCGCCACTCGCTCGTCGAGCGAACGCCCGCCCGCTCCCCGGTGAGATCCCGCCCGGAAAAATTCCTTTGTGAACATTTGCGCGCGCGAGGACACAACGGGAACAGATGAATCCCCCCGTTCTCCCGTCGAGTATGGCCTTAACATTTTCATGCGCGAAAGCGGATTATATACTCTCGTCTCAGTTGCGATGATGATCTCTAACGTACGGCGCGTGTGTGCGTGTGTGTACATTGTTGACGAGCAGCCACGACGGCGCTCTGCTGCGCGAGCGGAAGTACTTCCGGCGAAAGCCGGCAGGAGCGTGTACATACATACAGGTTTTTTCTTAGAGAAGATTAACAAAAATGCTAGAGGATTCTCTAGAGCGTGTCATCCTCATCGTCGTCATCCTTGGCAGCAGTCACCCTCATCCATTTTTGTTATCGTCTTATTATTTCACCGGTGGAGACAGAGAGAGAGAGAGAGAGAGAGAGGTATCATTTATAAAAAGAGACATAGAAACCGACGGGGAGAAGACGAGGAGAGAAGACGGGGTTGGAGACGGAAGGGCGGAATGCGACCATACTAGAGAGCATTCTTTATTCTAGTTAATATTGTTACTCTTGTTACCATACGCTAGTATGTTACTATACTAGTTACTCTGCTGCGCTAATATTAATAACGCGATCGTAGATCGGCAGCCCGGCGCGTCGGGCACGAGCTAGTTTCCGAGGGGAACGTCGTCGGGAATTCTTCGATGTGAATCGACGATTCGTGCGCGTAATATATATCGCGACGATACCGCACCGATGATTATCAAAATCGAAAGCCGCCCGGTTGAACGGTTGACACATCGCGCGCTCGCGCGAGACAGCGCGCGAGCGTCTCTCCCTTTGTAAAACTTTTCTCACACACACACACACACACACACACACACACACGCAATTTGTATTCACATTTGCAGCGCGAGATTCAGAGTCAATTTTATTAACGCCACAGTTAGCTTAGGGTACAAACGGATCAAATGAACAATAAACAAAAACGTGAAACCGGGCCCGTTTCACCCCGTGCTCGTTGGGGACCCTGCGAAAGTTTTTATACGCTTATACTTCCTTCCGGATCGTATATATATATATATATATATATATATATATATATCTATAAATATGTATATATGTCGTGTCCGCGGAGCAACTTGATTTGTAACATAATAACGCATGACACCTCCGGAGTCACACCGAGTCACACCACTCGCATCTACACGAGGATGAGACAGGGTATAAGTTCGTTTTGTTAAAGAAAGCAGAGAAGAGAGATAGAGAGAGAGACGGGACGGGCAACCAAAAGGAGGAGAAAAAATAGGCGAGAAAGGTAAAAAGAAGAAGAAACAGAAGGCTTTTCCGTGATGATAGACGGTGAATTATTGGGAGAACAATTTTTGCACGGATTTGGGACTTCCCCTCGCATGGAAATATTCCTCGCGGCCTTTAGTTACTTAGACCGGAATAAAACGTCGGACTAGTCTCTAGACGCTAGTCTCTACGCTGTTGATTTGTTAAAATGAAAATAAATGTTTATTTCTTAAAAGACCGTTACATCGACGTGTTTACTTCATTCTCAACCACCTCTCGCTCGTCCTCTCGTCCGATCGCTCACACGCTTCCCGATATTTTCTTCAAATATCTCCGTTTCCACGCGGAAAAATCTCAGTTCGTACAGCCAAAACGAAGATCACGAAATGCGATGACGAAAAATGATATCTCTATTATCACGATCGCGATCGGACACATTCGATTATATTAAAATTCGATTGAGATAATTGAAAACAATTCTGACCGAGTGGAAATCTTCCACAGGAATCCTTCTGTTCCTAAACAGAGGAAAATAATCTGCCGGCACGGCAAATTTTAAGATGTCGCAATAAAATCTGTTAAATCTGTCATACTATGTGGACAGCAAAACGATTTATTAAGAATACTAATTACCATTCGATGAATGATTTTGCCAAATCTACAAGTTATTTTACTATAAGAACAAATTTATAAATACAATACTATCTTGCTTTAACAGCAAATTAACGTATTCTAAGAACAAATTTACTCGACAGAATATTTGTTACAAGTAGTAACTAGCAACAAAACTGTTTCTGCTCTAATTACGAATAATTCGCTAATTTGGTTATGCCAATTAAATTTCATTGCTACCGCAACGAATATGCAGTAGTAACGACTTTTACCACAATAGCAAATTCATTTTTCTCCATGTACAACCGAGTTTTTCGTCTGGTCTTTATTTTTCCCAGGCAACTGGAAAACTCATACTAACAGAATTGCTTTCTTTCCGCGCACTGAAAAAAGAAATACTCAACAATTTATTCGGAAGATACAAGTTTTATTTCTGTGTGAGATAAAAATCCTTAAAAATGCATTTGTAGTACATGAGATTTATTTCACGGAAATAACCTTTATTTCATAAAAATAAACCTCATCTCTGCGAAACAAACCCCGCAAATAAATTTTTAACTATTTTTTTTCAATGTGTGTCGACAGTTAACATTTTAACGAAGTGCTACCACGGAATTTCCCCTCATCCCATGGTAAATTCCCCCCGTTTCCCCCGCTTTTACTTCAATTATTATTGCTTCAAGCGACATAATTAAAATGGTGTAAATTACAGACGGTAAAAATTACAGACACGCACCTGTCTAATTATCGAGCCTCCTCCTCGAACATTTCCAATGTCACGTTCATCGGTGGAGGTGGCGTCAAAGTGGTCGTTATTCGCCTAACAATTACGAGCCGGACAATAAAGTGATTATCGCTGACTAATGAAATTGGTGGACCCTCGACCTTCGGCAGATCGTTCGGCGGTGACAAAGTAGAACAGTCTTGGCGACCGCACGCAGTCGTTCGCGCCAGCAATTCTCGTCCGGAGTTGCCGATCGCGGAACAGACATGCCTGGCGGCGTCGTGTTCTTGGTTTGCATACCCACCCTGAGTTACGAGCACGAGCTGGTGTTCGGCGTGCCGCTGAAGTGTCCCGAGAAGATCGAGAAGAGCAAGAACAAGGTCGCGGTTGGCGTTGCGCCGAAGGTGGATCTGCGTCTGAAGGAAGTGAGATCGCGTCCGCAGCTGCTCACCCTCGACGACGACGGTCGCTACGACGATGCCGAGGACGACGACAGGGGCGACGGCGACGTCGGCATCGACGTCGGCATCGACACCAGGAGGCAACGCGCTCGCGGATACTCGGCGCGAACGAAATCGCCGGTCTTCGTGCCGATGGAAACGGTAGAGTGTGGTAAATTGTGCGCGTTAGCTAATGAGTGTTCTACACTGCAAGTCCAAATTCGTTATTGTCACACAAGGTGTAGTGTGACTGAAGCGTTTTTTATACATTTTCTTTACTGTTTAAATTGCAACACAGGTGTTAATTTAATACGTTTAAACGCGGCGGAATAACGCGTGCGTTGCGACTTAAATGGTGAGAAATGTGTAAAATGAACTTCAGCCAAATAACATAGAAAAAATCTGTATTAACTAGAAAACGGAGCAACCAGATGCCAAGGAAATCGAATTTCTGGTTCTTATAACCCAAATGCGGTTCTTGTAACCGGAAATTCTGTTCCCTTCACCCGAAATGCATCTAATTGTTCCCTTTCTGGCTAAACAACCAAACTTTTTTCCACACACGCATGTGTGCGTGACAATAACACACTTAAATTTGCACTATATTCCGGTAGACTTCTCGAATAGAACGCCCTCGTATTTTGAACGCTTGTTCTGCGCTCGTTATGCGATCATTATTACACGGAAAAAATCTGGTTGTCACCAAAATGCACCTGGTTGTTCCTTTTCTGATTAATACAACTAGATTTTTTTCCGTGTATATTTCAAGAATTCTTCTCTCGTAAATAAATGATGATCAAACGATTAAATAAGTTAATCGTTGGATCGTGTGAAAATGTGAAAAATCGGGAAAACGTGAGTCGCGTGATCGAAACCCGCAGGTTCTCGGCGAGCTCCTTAAGAAGCTGAAAGTAGAGCACGTGGTATGGTGCAAGGATAAGGAGGACATGTATTACGAGGTAGGATCAGACCCGTTCATGAGTATTCTCTCTCGCGTTTTACCCTCACGAGTGCGAATGCAACGAGAACATTTTGACGAAAGGTGATCTTTCCGGTCCCCGCCGGCGAGCCCTGCGAGAACTGCATACACTGCCTCACTGAGATGGGCATCGGAGTCAAGATGAACTCGATAGTAAGGTGATATCATGCCGAGTTCGCGAGAATAGCACCAGCGAGTTCGGGTTACTCCGGAATTATGACGTCGGCCGATTTCTTTCAGCGTGATCCCGACGCAGTGCACGTACAGCGCGGCAGGATTGCCGGTCATCAAGGACGACGCTGCTCGCAGGTTCGCTCGGTCAATTTCGGTTAGCACTTTGATTGCCATGGCGATTTTCGCAGATTGTCTCAGGGCTTATAACAAGTTTGCTACCAGTGTCACATATGTGTGACAGCAAATTTCTTGTCTGTCTACGTAGTCACTCGCATACCTTTGTTTTTTATTATGATAATTAGGATGATTATTAAGAACGCTATAACTTCGTTGGAAACTATATGTCTATACCGACAAATCCGAAATTGCCATCTGGACGCGCGCGCCTTTAGGCAAGCAACCCGTCGTAAAATGGGTCGTATGCTGATGCAACACCCTATACACCTATACACTGAGAGAAAAATCGTTATTTTCGGGGACAACGATATTCTTTTTTATTTTAACCACAAAAATAATAGTAGCGTTATTATTTTTATTACTAGAAACTAGATAATTCTCTTGACCATTTTTGTGGTTAAAGTGAAGAAAAAAGATATTGTCCCCGAAAATAACTATATTTTTTTCTCAATGTATGAACTTAATAGTCGAAATATCGAGAGAATTTATAGCCCCGAAGTAGCATTAAAATTAAAAGTAGAATCAAAAGTCCAAGAGAGAGGTTAATAAGTGTTAGTATCGCAAAAATAGGTTTTTATTCGTTTACAAATATGATAGATATATGCTAACTACTCTTAAGAGCATCAAAGTAGCATAATAGTTTCAACTCGGGTACTTACAATTCTTAATGCATATATCCATCAACTAGTTTTCTTAGCCTCCTATCGAGGTTTAATTCGTTAGGTGCGATTTAATCACGTGTAAGTTAATTCAGTCACTCGTAAGTTGACTTAATAAGCGATGGGATCATAATTACTGGTGATCCCCGTGGCGATCAATGTGCCAAAGACATCGATATCGAAAATGAAAATTACCTCTATCAAATCCGATATCATCCGACACGCGTTTTGTGTCCCTCAGGCGAAAGGAGGCGGAGGATCGTAGGAATGCATGGGACGATTTCGTGGGATCGATCAGATCGAAGTTGACGGTGAAGCAGGTGGTCGATGGAGTTCGCAGCGGTGGCGATCTCAGCTTCGACTACGTGCTGCTGGTCTTGACCGCGGAGTAAGGGGACCGTTGTCTCGCTCTCGAGCACGTTCTGCGACAATTGGGGATATCATGCATAATCATAATTATTAGTCTTATATAGACACGTAAGTAACGTGTGTATACCTGTTTGCAAAAGTGACGGTTTTACAGCTGCCTCGCCGCGCTCGGACTCGTCGAGAACAGCGCGACCAACGTCGTCGCGGCAATGCTGGTGTCACCACTCATGGTAAAGCTCCTTGACGCGATATTACGCTAATTGCCCCTTGTCCTGCCTTGCTGCTTCGACGCGCGTCTGATCGTCTCGTTGACCGAAGGGACCCGTGATGTCGCTGACCTTTGGGACCATCATAGCCGACAGGGATCTGCAGCTGGTCGGCCTGAAGAGTCTGATGCTCGGCATCTTCCTCTCGATACTCTTCGGCTTCATCTTCGGTCTCATCCTCGGCACGACGGAGATGCCCTGGGGCTACAACGACTGGCCCACCGATGAAATGAAGGGCAGGTGTGTGTTGCGATGGACAGGTCGCGCGTATTCGAATTATTATTTTATTATATATATTATATATATTATATATATTTTATATATCATATCATTGTTATATTATATTATCATATTTTGTGTATAATATAAATATGATAATATAATGTAATATGTAAAACAGATGTACATGGGTATCTGACGCAAGCCATCCCATCCGTCACTCAGCCAACGCAATGATACAGCCGATGTATAACGTATATGAATTTCTAAATCATGCTTCATAGAGCGTCAAAGTTACTTTTACGTTGTTGCTGTATAAAACTGTCATCCTCTTTTAAAAATACAAGTAATGATACATATATATTAAATATCTTATTTCATACTTCGTGGATGTTATATATGTATGCTACGTTTGAGTCTTCTTAAGATCATCTTCAATTACTGTACAGCTCATTTCGTTGGCTACGAAATATCCGAAGATAAACTCAAGAGGGTCTTCGATATAGGATCTGGCTATGAATACTGCACTGTAACTATGATATTCGTTACATAACTTTTAATTTCCACATTACGTAGTAGCAATTGAATTATAGTCGACTATCCATATACTTGTAGTTTAGATCAATATGAGCAAAAAAGTTCTCTACCATTTTGCAAATAACTACGCCAATTTTCGAGCCATTGATTAAAGAAATCTCTATACATGTGGCCATATTCAATAATTACCCAAAATGTTGCGTGGTTGTTTGCAAAATGGTAGAAGACTTTTTTATTCACATTCACTCAAACCACAAATATATGACGAATAGAACCGACTTGCGTCAGACACCCTGTGTAACATAACACATATATACAATATTATTTCATACTTAATGTCACGTTACATTGAATATCTTCGATGACATTTCACCCACGCAGAGGCAACTATAGATCACTTTGGATGGGTGTCCTGTGGGCTCTGCCATCCGGTACAGGCGTTGCGGTCGCTTTACTGCAAGGCAGCAATGGACCGCTGATTGGCGTCGCCATATCGGCCTCATTACTGCCGCCAGTCGTTAATTGCGTGAGTGAACAACATATTGTAGTTCGCTATATTGCCGCGAAACATAAAGCGAACGGTATAATTACGGTGATTACACGACCCATGAAGATACCCGCGCGCCCATTTCGCGCTTCTTGCCGTTTGTGCGTAAGACGGTCGACGATGATGGACGTAACCACGTTTCTACAGAGACTGAGAGCTCGCTCTCTTATTCTTCGCAGGGTCTATTCTGGGCTCTCGGCTGCATATGGCTCATTTACCGGCCCATAAAAATGCCCCACATCAAGGGCGAGTCTTACACGAACTTCAATAGCTCGTACAAGTACATCTACACCGACTACTTGCCGGTCGAGTTCTTCTGCAACGGCATTATCAGCGCCTGCTTGACGTTTATTAACGTAATGTGCATCTTTATTACGGCGATAATAGTATTGAAGGTAATTAAAGTTAGTAAGCGGCGCGGCGAGTAATTGCCGGGAATATAGCCATAAATTGCGCCCGCGGGGGCCCCCATGCGAGCCCCGACACCACGTATTATTTCTTTATGCACATGTCGCGACCGCTAATTGTAGAATTTTTACCACCGACTAATTACGTGACTCAGCCGCCGATACGACGCGATTCGCCCGGCGATTTTAATAATTTCAAGCGCGCCTGTTTTATCGTCGTTTTTATTTCTACTTTTAACCTCCCTCCGTTCGATCTCAGATTAAAGAAGTGGCCGCGCCGTACACATCCACGCCGGAACTGCGTCGATTTTGGGAGCACGACATCCGTCTAGTCCGCGATAAGAATATCTCGAGGGATAACAGCTCTCTCGATTCGAGGTAAGGGGGAGTTATCACGAACTCCAGTGTAAACTCCGTCAAAACAAACATTGCGAAGCCGCAACATTACATCATGTTACCGCACGGAGGAAAAAATATCGGTTGAATTAACGTGACGATGAATGAGCCGAGCGCGTTTTGATCGGAGGAAATAGAAATTCTTTCTTACAGAAATAGAGGAGTGGAATCAAAAATGTGAATCCTGGAATTCTCATGAACCAAATTCGGCTCTTAAGAACTCCAGAAATGTTGTTCCTCCTTTTTTTTTTTTCTACCAAATCGCGTTTGATTTGTTCATTGTCAGATTAACTCGACTTAGTCTCTTTTCTATCTTTTTTCTTCGTGTAACATACCGATGCGCGAATTAGTTACTACGACGGGCTGAGCAAAGTCAAACAACGAGCGCTGGAACGCACGCTGAACGCAGCGGTGAGGGAAGCGATGGACGATGAGACTTTTAGAAAAGTGCAACGGCTCAGTTACGGACAACACGGACCGGAAGAGGTACCTTGATTCTTTGGTTTTCACTTCTAATATTCTAATATTCGATTTCATCAACGATTGTGTAAATTTTCAACCGAGTTTAGCCCGTTGCGGTCTTATGTCGAGCGTCGTTCGACACCGCGTTTCGTTCCAACGCGTCCTATGACGCGACAGAGTCGACGTTACGCTAAAAGAGATCAGATAAGAGCTGCGGTGTAGCATCATAAATGTTTTCCAAAGTAAACGGTACCAAGCGGATGAGCGATTGGCGAAATCTGTGCGGACCGCAACTGGGACGAAATTGCGAATACAGCGCGGACCGCAACGGGTTAAATTCTTCAGACAAAAATTTAAGGTTGCGATTGAGTCCGAACAATGGACTTTTTATGCTCTAAGAAGTACCCTGCAAATAAAAGTCTGGTAGGACCCGATTCGGTTTGTATATGTGTGAGATTCATTGTCAAATATAATTTAGTCCGACCTATATCCGTTTTGATAAAATCAGACCCGAGTATGAGCTGAAATATCTTGCCAGTAAAATAATCCGGTCTAGACTCGGGTCTGACTTGATCAAAGCGGATATAGATCGGATTCAATTATATCTGATAATGCATCGGACTCTATCGGGCCTCGATTTGCAGAATCCTGGCTCTAAATAACAAAATGTGACGTAATTTCTGAGAAAAGCGCGCTGTCAAAAGTCGCAATAACGCTCGAACCTTAATAAATGACATTTGATGGCACTGGGAACGCTTTTTACTATAGATTACGTTACAATCTAGTGCTTCGAGCGAAAGGTTAAAGGCTCACCACATCTATTGTAGATCCTGACTGAATTGACGTTGATGAAACCGGATAAATCGAACTTGATTTGATTCAATGATTTACCATTGACGAATTACGCGCAGATCGGACCTCGGCTTGGTCTTCATAATCGCGGGAACACGAGCAGAAGCAACATGAAGAAGAACGAGAGCGTGGAGGAGTTAGGCGCGGATCTGCGCTCGCGCATGGACCGCTTGACGAGTTCCGACAACACGAGCGAAGACTTGGCCGCTTTGGACCGACTGATAACGTATCTTTTGGGCCAGCCGAGTAATCCCGCCGGTAGCAACCTGGGCTCGTGGAGACGTTCGCGTCGCGCTAGCGTGCGAGGATACCGACAGCTACGCGGCAACGCTGCCGGCGTCGCGGAAACCGGCGGCGTCGGCGCCAATATCGGCACGACGCCTCTTTGAGAAGGTCACGGGATACGCTCCGAGAATATCGGATGCGAGCCTGGTGAACAGACAACGAACGAAATAATAAATAATAATACAAGGAAATAGAGGGAAAGGCGGTAGACTATCTTTCTCAAGATATATAATCATGATTAAAATAAAAGGTTTAATAATGTTTACCTGCACACGATCGTCCATGCGTAAATCAAAATAACATTTAATAGCGCTAGTCTATGATATGAAAACCAAAACATCTTGGTCGCAAATTCGCAATAATAATGTATCTTTTTATTAAAGATACGATAGATCGTTTCGTAGTCGTGTTGATATCACAATTTAAACATCATCGAATATGCGGTTTGAACGGAGAGATCCAAGAATTGCGGCAGCTCAGTCGTCAATGGAAGAGGGCTCGGTGCCGAAGTATCTGTCGCCGAAGTTCCCGATGCCGGGTAGAACGTAGAACTTTTCGTTGATCTCGGGATCCAACGCGGACGTGACGATCTTCACACGCGGGAAAGCATACGCGATCGAATGCACGCCGGATTCCGCCATCAGCAGCGACACCAGGAGCACGTTCTCTTCGGCGACGTCGTGGTCCAACAACACTCTGATCGCCATAATGGCAGCCGCACCGGTGGCGACCGTGGCGTCCATCAAGATCACTTTGTAATCCTTGATGTCCTTCGGTAGTCGGAGGTAATATAGCTGGAAACGTGCGAGAGATCACGTGATCTGCAGACAATCACGTTGACGAGAACTTGGGACTTAGCGGAATGGCCGACTTGTAATTTTAAAACGATGTTTCATGTCTTAAATCTTTGTGTAATTATCACTTTTTTATTATACAGTGTTTTTTCATCAATCACAAACAGAGCGATTTTCTAGTTTAACATTCCAGACACAAGATAGTTATTGTGCGTTATTTAAGACAAAGCCCGGGTCTACGGTAGGTTTTAAGCCTTAAGTCTTAAGAAATTGACCAATTATAGTTGAATGTGAAAATAATCGACTGTGATTGATCAATTTCTTAAGGCTTAAGGCTTAACACTATTATAGACCGGGATTTAGATCAACAATATAGGTGTAGTAAATCTCCAGCTTTTCACCAAAATAAATTGGAACATAATTTTTAGCAAAATTCTTAGCGCTCCCAGACACACAATTTCTAAAATTTAATTTAATTCTTAAAATTGCCATTTATTCCTAAATTAAAAATTCAAAATAAATATAATGTATTTCATTCCAAAATCTAATGTTATTACTATACTCTTGGCAGCGTGGCAATTCCTTTTGTCAGGAAGTACGTTACATTTTATCGAGTAGATTCAAGCTTGAGGCATATAAAATGTAGCCTTGAATCGGTAAATCAACCATTCCGCTGAGGTCCCCTGGCACTCACCTCGGGTTCGCCGGTCTGTTGGTTGGTTTGGATCAGAATCTTTCCTATTCGAATGTCTTTACACACGTCCCGAACAGCCTGTTCCATGGTCTCGCCGGCGCGCAATATGGATACGCCGCATATCTTGTCCGTCGCGCCCCGCTTGCCGTTGTACAACACCCCTTGCGGGGTCTCTATCGTCACTTCCTTCACATAAAAATAATTAACCGTGAAACGCCGATTTCGTCGGGTCCTGTGCGATATAGATTTGTAGATCAAACAGTGATAGAATAGCGGTGGCGATTCCATCGGCGATAACGTAGATAAACAAATTGTCCACTTGAAGCAAAAGCGCCGCTAAGAGCACCCTCATCTCGCGATTATAGCTGCACTTACCTCGAATGGCAACAAAGATAAAGCGTATTCGATGACCAGGCGGATTAATCGTTTCGAATAGAAGATAAATTCATCCCGATAAGTCTCCTTGTTGCGTATAAACGTGTGCAGACCCTTGATCTGTGGCGTATCCGGAAGCAAGTAGAGCGACGACGGCAATGGTTGGCCGATGTACGAGTGCGCCAGCTTCTGCCTCAGTTTGAAGCCCCTCTGGAAGCGATGCGAAAAATCGATAATTACGCGATAATGCATTGATAGCGGCTCGGTACGTAAAAGTAACAAATGGAAACTGATAATTCACCAACTGAAGTTGAGTGTGAACATGTTGCACGATCAGCTCTATTGCCACTTCGTTCTCGCCTCCGCGCGGCACGATGATGTCCGCATGGACCATGAGAGGTGCGATGTAGTAGTAAAACGCGGGTTGAACCATCGTGCTGTACTGTTTCAACACACCCTCAAGATCCCTTCCTCTTTGCGAGATATCCCTCTTCAAGCGTCTGGCGAGTCTAATGTCCGCGTCGGTGTCGACGAAAACCTTCATGTCGCACATCTGAAAGTGAAGCATTGGTCATTCTCGATCTTACGTGCGATCTTCAAATTCACTGATCCCATTGTAAGCTTACTTTCAACACGTCGACGTTGTAGAAAGTCAATATTCCCTCGAATATAATGACGTTGGCACCGTACATGGTTTTCTATCGAATAAAGGGAAAAGATTGCGACAGGCATCAATGTCTTAATATTATAACTATATATAGGATGTCTCAGCATAAAGAGAACATCTAAACATCTCTTTCGTTCTTAATGATATGAGAAATGTTTAGAGCGGTTTTGAATGGGGAAATCAAATGGAAGGAAAAATTTTTACGGTCATTTTTTCGATTTTTTTAAGATTCTCATATTTAGGCTCCCTAGATATTTAGGTGTTCTCTTCATGTTGGGACACCCTGTATATTATAACGTATACATATTATTATTACACTTCTGTGTGAAAGATTGAAATTAATGTGCGCAGTTGTGTAAATGTTTTCATTTGGAAAGTGTTCAAAATTCCAATTGAATTCAAACGGAAAACGTTAATGTTATCATGCTCATCATGTGAGCCGAGCATGATGCGGGAAACGATCTCGAAACGATAACACGCGGATTGCGGACCAACAACAACACAAGTAAATATGAAACACGCGTGTCTAATCACGTGTTCGGTCATAAGAACACCTAATTGTCATGTTGTATCAAAAAACATTGCCACAGTTGAACATGATCGAAAAGGCTTCGTCCGATCGAAGGTCAATCAATTTATTCGTTCCGCTTGGAAAAAAAAATGATATCGGTATATAAACTGGATGCCTTGAGAGCACGAGAGAGACCGTTGAAGTAACGTTGAGCGAACTCTCAGAGAGAGAGAGAGAGACTTGTCTGATCGGAATTCGAACAAGCTGTTCGGTTCTAATTTTTTCGCGTATCTCGGCTCGCTACGGGTTCGACCGTCCGTGCGAGACATCTAACGTTCTGTATTCATCTCGTTACGAGACATCTTTCGCGTCCTCGCGACGACTTCGCGAGTGATTGTCGGTCTTTCATTTAATCATATTTGTAATTTCTGAACGTTGTGATCGTCGACTTGAATCGTATTGCGTCTTGTAACAGCGGTTGCGCGTGGCACAAAAAGAGGAAGAACATCTCACGCCCCGCATTGTAAAGGCCAGATCGCCATTCTGTCTCAACAGCAGAACAAACCATTGCACAACCGATTTCAAAGAATTTCCCTCATCACACCGATTCTTCATTGCATTCCGTGCATTCTGCGCTGGGCAGATCCAGTTGGAGCATTGCACGCGAGAAATTGAGTGCATTCGCTCACAAACAGAAAGTAAAACGAGAAATTTACACGTGGAGTTGGTCAGTTTGGATTTCTGAAAGGCTCGTTTCATGTCAGACGCGGAAATCACGGTTAATTTCTCGCGCATGCAGCGACAAGTCGCAACAAGTACGTCAACTTACCGTTCTACTCTCCCTGCTATGCGTTACAAAGTTATAAATAGGAACTTCCACCATTCGTCCTTCCTTCAAACGTTGCAATGTAGTCTTGAGAAGCTCGAAGTCAAAAGCATCAGGATGATCAAAGTTGTATTCGTTGCGTGCAGCCATATCGTGTTGCTTTTCGTTCAACACCTTGTGAGACAAACACGACTAACTTTTGTTACATCATTCTGTACCATATCAATGACGAGTGCGTAGAATATTTCGACGCACCTTGTAAAATGAATCCATACTCAGAAGAGTAACCCAAGGAACGTCCAGAGATTCTATAATTTTCGTCGCTACTGTTGTTTTGCCAGACGCGCTGCCACCGCAAATGCCTGTCGCAAAACGAATCCTTCGATCAGATTTGTCGTGGTAATGACGAGATCTACGTTATTTTCACCTTAAAAGTTGAATACTACCGATGACAAACGGTTCCACTTGTTGACCGGCCGAATTGTACCAAGGTGGCCTACCAGCCGTGTAAATAGTTCGCGTTTTGCTTCTGAGAATCGACTCAGCCGATGTCTTCTTGCTTGACTGCGACATACTGGTGGTACGTTGTCTGCGCGACCGCGGTGACTTCTGCGACCCTGTTACAATTAAGTAACACGTTACCTTTCATCTTGTACAACCATTTACTCTTACATATGCTTTCCTTTCTAGGATACTACCGGTACTTCAATTTTTCTCATTTTTTTACAAATTTTATTTCAACCTTATTCTTACCAATTTTCTTTCATTCTTATACGGTGAAATAATGCTAATTCAATTGAGAATTCAAGGATGGTGGGATCAAAGGTAGGAAAGATTCGGTATACTTTTTACACTGCCTTTGGAATGAGTTGATCAAGGAAACATCGGGACATTGGATTGCTTTCATCTGCTCTCATAGGTACAACTTCATTGAACCACTGAGCCTGCAATGGATTTATGCGCAGCTTAACGAATATGATCACATATATATTCATACTGTACGTCACGAGCTAATTATACGATTGCAGTTACTTCATTCACTGATAACACGATATCTGACGCAATCCTACGTTAAAGTAGATTCGTAAAAGTCAATCTGAAACGTATGATTAGTCTGTTATCAACTATACTTACACAAACCTTATGTACTCTCATATCCATGTTGAAAACTTTGATAAAAAAAACATCACGCATCCTCATGGTTTATTTTACTCTATCTTAGCTATTATCTGATAAGTGAAGCAGATCACACATGAGAAATTAAACAGAGCCTACCGACAACACATGGTTCACATTCGACCTTCAAAGAGATCCTGGGAGAGCTGATTGGGAAAACAGACAAGTCAAAAATATATATCTACCTGTGGACGGTGGCCGGGGCGACTGCGGAGTCGGCGTGCCGACGTCGGAACGCCTGTGATGTTCGGCATCTTCGCACAGCTCGTCCACGAGGCAGATCTCTCGGTCGTCCAAGCACACATCGGCGTCGTCGCTACGAGGAGGGAACAAGCAAAAAATTTCCACGCTTAGTAATCGGCTCGCTTATTCGTCGAGACACGTCGACGAGGCGCGAGGTCATTCACGGCTGAATAATCGCGAGCACCACGTGCACGCCTTACCTCTCAGAACTCGCTGAACTAGGTGGCTCACAGTGCTGCATCTTCGCTGCCATTGTCCCGTCGTTCTCCTGGCTGGAGACCACCGTCTCCGTCGTCTCCGTCGTGTCCGTCGTCGTCGTCACTTTCAACGGCGGAAACGTCCGCTACAGGGCTGCGTTCGACGCAATCTACTGCGTCGCACGTACAGGTCACTGTACACCGAAAAAGTTTTACACGAGGCTACATCGAACGTCACCTCGCGCGTTTTTCCGTCTGCTGCTGCCGTCTGCTGCACGCAACCAACACACACACGCGGTGCGTATCTAATCGCGCGCGCATGTGCAACAATCGTGACATCTGATAGAAGATCCACGCTCGGTCAGATCGATGTTCGATAGCCCGCAATATCGATGTCCTACGATTATCTTCAGGCGGTCGACCACGAATCTTTTCCCCGAGCGTGCTTCGATGGAAATATTTTGTAGAAAATGTAATTGAAATTTTACCGAAATGTTCTTCAAATTTCCCCCCAATCGATCCTATTTCATTATTATTCCATCGATGTCGCAGTGAAAATTCGGTTTCCGGTTAAATTCAGTAATTTCACGATGTCTAAAAAATTCGTCGTTTTCAGTACAATTTAACTTTCCTTATATTTCGCAATATTATATTAAATTTCATAAGGAAAATTATATGATTCATTATGAAAATTAAGAAAAATTATATTATTCATGATAAAAATAAGGAAAATTATATTACTCATGATAATTATATGATTCATTTTGAGATATATTCAGTAACTATTTTTCTGTAATTTCATTTAATGTTTCATCGATTTCATAGTACTTTCAGCAAAATATTTCCATCAGAGTGAACTCGTGAGAAGTGAAAAGTTTCAAAAGTAAAGCGTATAGAAATATTTACTTCCCATGATAAAATTACAGATAAACGGAGGCATTTGCACGATTGAATGCACGAACCATCCCCCTTGAGAGATTCACGAGATAATATAACTTATTGTTACTAATTGCCGCGGACTTCGACGCGATGATGAATCTGTAATTAAAAAAAACCACTTTTCATTTTTCCGCAGAAAAGAACCGAAAAAATCGCACGAAGTTAAAAAAAAATATTTTAGAAGATCAGCTGCTTGTTAGAGCTGATAGAATATTTTCTTTAAAAAAAAAAAGTAAATATAGTTTTATCCATTACATACACACACACACACACATATGCACGCACGCATATACTTAAGGGGGTCCTGGAGTCGTCTTGTTTTACCGCAAATTTATTAATACTATACTATTGTTATTAGCTGTACAGAATTAAAAATCCTTTTGCAGAATTATGATACACACGTTAATATAGACGAGAATGGTTGACTTCATTTGAAAAGTGAAAATAAGTTTTTTAATTTGTTAACTTTTTAATTTTTTGAATAATCAACTTTCCTCGTTTACATTAACATGTGTATTGTAATTGTGCAAAATGATTTTTAATTCTGCACAATTAATGACAAGTATAGTATTAACAATCCAGACAGCACAAATGTCCAAAATCGAGACATGAAACGTCTTTTAGACGCTTGAAGTCGTGTTTAAGTTAAGATGTAAGAAGTTAAGTTAAGATATAAGAATCGATATAAGAAGTCTTTAAGATGTTTTTAAGACGTCTAAAAGACGTCTTATGTCCCGATTTTGGACATTGTACTGTCTGAGAAGTTTGCAGCAAAACATAACGACTCCCAGAATCCCCTTAAAGCACGAGAAATCCCCTTCTCTGTCTCTCTCTCTCTCTCTCTCTCTCGCGCACGCTTTCTCTCTCTTCCCCATTTCTCTTTCTCACGTGCTTTTACTTTATAACCAAACGTTTAAATTTTATCGTTTAAGAAATCTGGAAATTGGAAAAAGGCTACTAGCAAATGTTACAAATAACTAGGATAATATAGCAAAAAAATTAAGAACAGAAGATGAAAACAAAGAAATTCCATTTACGTGGAGAAAATTATCATTATCACTCTTTACTATTTTATTATACACATTTAATATAATCTATAGCCTAAAAACACATATATCAAAAATTAAGATTCAATATATGTACAGTTCAAGCATGTAAAATCGTACACATATATATATATATATATATTTGTGTGTATGTGTGTATGTATTTATTTATTTCAAAAAAAATTTCAATGAGAAAATATCTAAGAACCAGAACCGAAAAAAACCGTTATTTACACAACACTGGAATACCTTCATTGATTAAGGAACCAAAATCGAAAACCGAAACCTTCATCAAATATTTTAACGGACCTAGGTATCGATCATATAACTTTTCTCCTAGGACGGAAACGTGAAATAATTTCAAATTAGAAAATTTATATTTTTTTTACGAGTTCATACTAGAAGAGAATATTTATGACCATCTAGGCGTCGATCATGAATCTTCTCTTCCAGCCTGAATTCGTGAGAGATGTAAATTTTCTAGTTTTACAACATTCATTTTTCACGTTTCCGCCCTAGGGGAAAAATGACGTAATCGATACTCTGAACCGCGACCGGACTGATATTTTCATTCGATCTCTAGTGCCGATGTTGGATTGTCCCTCTGGACTGAAAAGAATAATCCAATCTTAGGTCAGAAAACGTCGAAAATTGTAAGAGAAACATTCCGCTGAAGGTGGCCGTTAGTCTCGATTTGAAATTGGCCGAGTTCGGCACGAGGTTCGCCGCGGGAGAGCGACGACGCCGGCGGTGCCAGGCACACGTTCGAAATGGCGTTTCGCGTGGGGAGCAAAAAACGCGACGCGTACGATCGGCAATGGCGGTATCTCCCGCGACATCGAGCGTGTTTCTTCCTCGCCTCCCGTGGACGTTCAAGCGTCCGGCGAATCGCCGCCGCCGAGTCACGTTGCGTGACACAGCGCACGACGCGCAACACGACGCGCATGTTGCACCGAATTGCGGCGAATCATGCACTCCATTCAGCCGGTAACACCGGCACGATCCTCCTGCCGACCGGCCGAGCGCGAAGTATATTCTCTCGCCGAGAGACGGACAGAGGGGGAGAAAGAGAAGGAGCGAGCGAACCGAAAGTTACCCCGAGGCTTACCCCCGATGGCTTCTGCGTCGTGTTGACTCCGCGTCGCGTGACGTCGCGCCGCCGTCTTTTAATAGTCCGCGACCGGTTGGCCCGTGCGGAGCAGCACAACGCGGAGAGCGCGATACAACGGTAGGCGACGCGACGCGATACGTACGTAAGAGTCGGGAGACGCGCCCTCGTTCGACCTTGAGGCCTATAACCGGTAACGCGCAACGTTCGATGTACGGAGCATCGGCGCGCGGAGAATTGCTGCTGATCGCCGCAACGAGCCCACCACCGCGACAAGCCGCCCGGCCGCGCTCCTCCTGCTCGCTCCTAGCGCTGTTTACCACCTCGTCGGCGGCGCCTCATCCTCCACCTCTCGGACGCGGAACGGCGAAATGGCGAAGAAGACGTACGACCTGCTGTTCAAACTGCTGCTCATCGGCGACTCCGGCGTCGGCAAGACCTGCATTCTGTTCCGCTTCTCGGACGATGCCTTTTCCACCACGTTCATTTCGACGATAGGTGAGAAAGGGACGGAGAGAGCGCGAGAGAGAGGGAGAGAAGACGCGCTTCTTCTGTCTCTCCCTCTCTTTCTTTCTCTCGCTCGCGGCTCGCCTTCCTCTGTCTCTCCCGGCGGATTAGGTTAGAACACTCGGGTGCTTGGCCGGATCGAGAGGAAACGAAGTCCTCGTCGATCGCGTCGAACGCATCCCGCGATAAAACCGCTCCCGAGTGCACGCACACATGCACACTCGCGTCTTGCCGGGGCGCAATTACGAGCGTGTTTCTTCGCGAGGAAAAAAAAAAGTAACCGCTGTACTTTGCCGGAGCAAGGCCTCCCGCGGGCTCTCGCATGTCGGTCGCGAAAACTCGCCTTGTAATCCGTCGCGGCGGATTTCACGCACACTGCGTCCTTCGATGAATAACGATATCCTTGTAACAGATTACACGTGTAAATTGTATCTCTTTTTCTCTTCTACTTCTCTCGTTAATATCTATATCTCTTTAGTCATATATATATATATATATTAATTTATTTATTTATTTATTTATTTATTAAATTATCTATGTATTTATTTACTTACTTACATTTTGTCAAAAGTTTTTCTAAACTTCTGACTCACTGACTAGACACGTTTATGATATGTTCTCTTATTTGATAAAAGCATAATTGTAAGAGAATACTTTTGTAAATAGGTATCGACTTCAAAATTAAGACAGTGGAATTAAGAGGAAAGAAAATCAAATTACAGATATGGTATGTTGTCGTGTAGGAAGGACGCTTAAACATGCATGCACTTTAGAAGAGGCACCGATGTCTGTATGCTTGTTTATTTGCAGGGACACAGCTGGGCAGGAGAGATTTCACACTATTACAACATCGTATTACAGAGGAGCAATGGGCATTATGCTTGTGTATGACATTACCAATGAGAAAACGTTTGAAAATATTGTGAAATGGTTGAGAAATATCGATGAGGTACGTGTAATACAATGCACGGCTTGTTGCCATCTCTGAGAGTCACAGTGCATAAAGGTATAACAATTGTAAATATTGGTAATATAAAATACTGCCCACAGCACGCGAATGAAGATGTGGAGAAGATGATACTAGGAAATAAGAGCGACATGGAAGATAAACGCGTTGTTAGCACTGAAAAGGGAGAGGCGGTAAGTATTTAATTAATCATTGACACACCTGATTGCCTCATTATTATATCTTCGACAAGATCTACTCGGTCGTGATCAATGGGAAATTTTCCTTTTCACAGATAGCGAGAGAGCACGGCATTAGATTTATGGAGACTTCCGCGAAGGCGAATATTAACATTGATCGAGCATTTAGCGAGTTGGCGGAAGCGATATTGGACAAAACACATGGCAAGGAACCACAAGACGCGCCCGACAGAGTGACGGTTGATCGAAGGGTAGAGCGAAGTTCGAACCGGTGCTGCTAATTTTATATGTATATTATTTATTTTAACGGCGCATAAACGAACTATATATCAGCTCGTGCCACTTGGAATAGAGTCCTCGATAGATTTAGAGCGTAATTCAAAGCATAATAACATAATTAAACACCTCACGACACTGCCTGAGTTATAATCCAGTCTCACGCATATAATCTGCTCCGGCAAAAGTACATTTTTCTATGCTGTAATTGAAAAACAGAGAAGTAAAATTGTCATTAACAAAAAAAAAAAAACTTATAAGAGGAACATGATTGCACATTGGAATCAACACGTGAAAGTTACGATCTTTGATTTTTTTTTCTATATCTGCGTCTAAATGTCAGCAAAACAAGTTTATAACAATACGGGCGCTTTTCCATGCATATGTAATTGTATCTATAATTGTATCTGTGGCATATAAGCGAATTCGAGGTTTCGTTAATTTATACAGAATGCTATTCGTTTAAACGATCAAACCACTAATATGTTCGGTGGTAGAAGTGAGAGAAACAAATTTTATTAATAAATTCTTAAGGTGTTTAATTCCATTTCTTATCGATGTTAAGGTTTTTTCGTATTAACCAAAAGGGCAATTTGAAATAGAAAATTACATATTATTATATTATATAATATAATATATAATAATATAATAATATATAATAATTTATTAATATTAATGTATTAATATATGTATATTAATATATTAATATTATATATCATAATATATTACTATTATTATATATAATTTCCTTTGTTTTATCATAACTTTTTAATAAAACATTTTTAGATCTATATATAACGTTTTTTTTTTTCCTTATCTCTATTTATAGAGCGTATTCGTAGAGTTTGATCGTTTAAAAGGGAAGACGCCCTGTATATGCAGGTGGGTAAAGGTAACTCTGCAAGTTTCGCCGATGACCTTCACGTTTCACGCGTAACACTACTTGCATCGTTGCACGAACAAGGAATTAGGAGAACATATTGTTTGTTATGAGGCTGCAATTTGTTACCAAGTTGAGTGGTGTGAGTACAAGCGTCGGCTTTAATCTTGAAGAAAAAAAAAATGAAACGATGAAAAAAACATCTTTTCAAAGAACATTAAATGCTTTTCCTATATGGACAACCGCACCACACATGCTTATTTGTATGTTAAGTTAAGGTGAGAAAGCTTGAAGCCAAAAGCTTTAATCGTTTTGTGTAAGGCCAATATTTACTACAAATATAAATATTCACAATTTCGAAATCATCATCTTAATTCCTTACACTACATACTCATACACATAGATGTACACAGATTGGGAGGGTAACGCCGTTATTCGTGAAGCTGTTATTGTTACTTTTTTTTTCCAATAAACGACTTGGCGTTATCGTATTTCCTTAGATAACGATAACTAAATATAAATAATTTTATATTTTTTGCCAAAAGAATATAAAGAAGCTTCCAAAAAACTTGGCGAGGTAAATTACGCAAATTACAATGACCCATTATTTCTTTGAATAACGATAACAAAACCGAATAACGAGTTACTTTGAAGAGCAACTTCCTCTCAAATTTAAATATATATTCATATAAGTAACGTGAGAAAAAAATATATATATACGAGTCTGCGTGTTTCTAGATGGAAAATCGTGGATATCTACATATATATATATATATATAATTGCTAATTGAACATAAACACTTCATATACAAAGGTTCGAGGTAGCAGCACGCTACGTATATGGCTCGGATTACAGGATTTTTTGCGTGTCGTTTTTTGCACTTGGCTAGCTTAATGATAACAGGCATCGGTGGTAAATGATCTTCTAATTATTTCCTTCGAAGCATATCTGATACGACGATCGTGAATGCCGTCTCTGTGCGTTGCATAACGAACTTCACACGTGGACTAAGAATTTTGCCTTATCATGCGCTAGAGTATGTTGACGTTCTACGTCAACGTGCTGATCGAGAAAGATCGCGGCTCGTACACGTTATCAGCCGGTATCGAAGAACAAAGGATCCGAAAAGTACTGGAGAATAATTGTATGTTTTATTATTCAAACATGAACAAAGAATAAACACAATTTCAACTTTCTAGGTATATGTGTGTATATTAATAACCGATGTATATGATAAAATTGTCGTTTGGGTTTCTGGAGTTTTATAGCCGATACAATATACTATACAACTAATGCCGGGCTTATATCGTACTAAAACATGTAATATACATTTATAATATTAATTATATATATTAATAGTTCCTTTCAATAGTTTTAATTAGACATATACACTTATTGATCACACTGAAAAGTCTCAGAAAAAAAGGTACATCCAAAAAAATAAGGTGATTGATGGTCTGACTGACGGTTGCTCAAAGAAACAATTGCGACGGTACGTATCTATATTAATCAAAAAGACACTGCAAAAAAAGTCCAAACGATTGTCGACGATAACAATAATATAACTGTTACGGCATATTATATGTTATTTTAGCGGTTGTTAGAATTTACATCAGGTCCCTGCCCGAGACAACAAGAGATATTTTGTAATATGTCTTATTGGACTAGACAAGACTTTGAATCCAAGCGTGCTGCTCGTGTACATTAATCTTTGAAAACTTGTAAAAGTTATCACTTCGTAGAAATGAAAGTCTCGCCAATACTGCTTCTTTACACTTGACTCATTCGTTCGCCTACAATGTGCTCTCGCGACGGCGACGGCGAGGATGACGACGACGACGACCTTTGCTGCGGAGAGCCAGAGCAGGACGGCGATAAATAAAAGCTGGCTGTGTATTTCCTCGATTATAACACAACTGAGTCAGGAATATTGGAACTGACAGCGATTAGTCTCGCGAAGCGCCGATAATAGTTAGAATGTAGAGGAAGATGTTGATAACATCTAGGTAAAGGCTCAGCGCGGCGAAGATGTACTCTTCCGGGGAGACAGTGTACTTGTGTTTGCCTCCTATCATCAACTGCGTGTCGTAGATCAAGTAAACGGAGAATACTAGGGCGCCGAGCGACGCGTAAACCAGCGTCATGATCTTTCCGGGAATGAATATTGCGATTATGCCGAAGATAATTAAGATGAGCAGAGCGACAAAGAGAACAGTGTGCAGCCCGGTAAAGTCGATCTTCGTCTGGAATGCGAATATTGTCAAGCCCAGACAAATCGCCGCGGTGATCCCGACAGCCATCAAGACCTGCAAAATCGTTGAGTATGAATACACAAAGTTTTTCACCTTCCTTGCTGGCCTAAATAATCTGTACTGTAACGCGAGATTCACGATGCGTCGTCCGAATCCGGTTTCGATCAACCTACCGCATCAGAATCGTAGCTCGAGGCAGCCGTGGCCAATAGAAAGGCCTCTGCCACCGTGAACAGGAATAGGAATATGAAGTTCATCGGGGACTTGCGTCTTACGTTGGTACAGCAAGCCATACATATAATCAGGACGAAGGTCACAACCAAGCAGACCCAGAACAATTCTGTGTGTTTATGTACCCATTCTTTCGTTGGTTTATGGTAGACGAACAACGTGATCATACCGAGCGTGATGAGCAGCTGGCACATCAGGATGCTGTATACTTTCCTAAAATAAGAAGAAAATGAATATACGTGGAGTCGTGTATAGTATGCTTGCGTGTGTGCGTACGTATACACAGAAAGAAAATGAACCCCTTGACATACAAATAAAACGAAATTTGATGCGATTTTGTCTATCGGTACTGTTGAGAAGGGGGAAGCATCTTGAACATTCTAAACAAAACAGAATTGACGTACAAGTGAAATAATTGAATAATCGAATAATATACTGCACGGCGTCCACGGGAGACAGTTCTTGACGTCTCGGAAACGTCAAAGTCTACAATGGCGTATGAAATGAATGACGTTTACCAGACGTCATTGTATGTCAAGGGGTTAATAACAATTCAAGACTCATAAGCAAGAATATATAATTTTACATAAGGATAAAACTTGCTCTTACATGAAGAAATTCTATATAATTCCGCTAAAAATATATTTATGTTTATTCTAGAATAATCTTCCTGAATTGAAAGGAAAAAATTGTTCTTGCGTATAACAAGAATATATTTTTGGAATTATATAGAATTTCTTCATGTAAGAGCAAGTTTTATCCTTATGTAAAATTATATATTCTTACTTATATATAAGAATAAGAATCTTAAATTAATACTATTGAATTATACTATTTTTTTTATTTATTATTATTTCTATTGAATATTTAACAGTTATTAAATAGTTATTAATGTGTTGATTTATGATATCAAATTAACAAGAAATTGGCGTATTCAAATGTGACGATAGCTAATCGCTGTTATTATACCCAAGATATCTAATACAAATGCAAATACATGTAAGATGTATAAAAAGTACCGGGACTCGAATATATTTTGAAAGTAACAAACAAAGAAGAAAGTTTAAATATATGGGGTTAATATATGAGGTTGACCCCTAATGGTCATACAAAGGTTAACTTGTTTTTTTATGTAAAAATTAAATGTGGTAAATTAAGGATGAAAATTTTTTGCTAGTAAAGGGATCAGAAGATGATCCAGTCGATGAAGGCAAGATCAGTTAGCCAATCCAATTAATGAAAGCAAGACACATGAATGACTCAGCCGATGAAGGCAAGGTTAATTAGCCAACCCAGCTAATGAAAGCAAGACATCTAAACATAGAATTTTCTGTTTTCTTTTCATTTCTGGAATCAAAAATAAGGGTTCCTATTAAAAAATTTCAAGTTGATCTTGAAATGACCTCTAAATTGACCTCTATGCTAAGGCCAAGGTCATCATCAGATGCTCCTCTTTAAACCCTACAAATTTCGTATTTAAACTTCCTTTTTTTATTCGTTACTTTCTGAGATATTCTGGGGTTCCGGTATTTTTTATACGTTCTGTTTAAATATCTAGAATTTGAACATTTAAGACTGAATGTCATATTAAATTTTGCAAAGCAATTTTTCTATGCGTATACAGAATGTTCCACATCAACATGGATAAACAAACCTTCGTGAGGGTACAGAACGGAGGTAGGTAAATAGAAAAGTCCTCTACTATTTTGCAAACAACACGCAAAATTTCGCGTTATTAATTATTGAAAATGGCCGTGTACAGAGGCTTCTTTAATTAATACCTGAAAAATTCATGTGTGTTATTTGTAAAATGCTACAGGACTTTTTTGTTCAGAATTACCTAATCTACAAATATATGACAGCTGTTGTACCTAGTGACAAACATCAGTATATTAAACCTTGAACCTGTCGTAAATTTTTATTAATTGAAAAAACTTCTACTCTTCTCAACCCATTCTACGCCCTTACTAAGTTTGTCCATGTTGGCTGGGACACCTTATATATATATATACATTAGACACACCAAGATGTACCGAACGCCAAGAGCGTTCGCGATATGCTCTTACCTGATGAAGCCATTCCTGATAGTCTTATCGTTAAACTCGAACCCCTTGACCTCATCTTGCAGAGGATCCTCCGCATAACCGGACCCGTACATTCCTGACTGAACTGGCTGCGATCCGAAATCCGGACCAACTGGTGGCGGTGTTTGACCGTAGGGTGGAATACCCGGCGGTGGTATGAATCCCGGACCTGTGGCGAAAATAACAGAGCTGAATGAGCAACCGGATAACGCGATCGAAGAATGAAAGCATCGGCATATAATACTGGACGGAGCATGCGACAAGATTTCTCTGATCTTTCGTATTGAGAGACCTAGGAAGAGAGAGCTAGATGTGTAGGCACGGATCTCTCTGCTCTCATTGGTTGAATTTTGTCGAAGGGAAACAGTATTGTATTTTTTAAAATTGGGAACACTCTTGACATTACTATATACAAGTGATATACGTTATATACTCTATAAGCATTTTTACGTTTCAACTTTTCCTTCTTTTTTTATATCCTTGTATCCTATATTCTTAAATATATTATAAAAAAAATTAGTTAAAATGAAAGAATTACAAATGCCTCATGGCCCCGTTGCTCTATGAGCCGCTCCTACCCACACATCGTCCTGTCTCTTTCTACATCTGTCAGTCACGATTTCGGCCCAATGCTCCATCCAGTATCATATGTCGACGGATGAAAGGATCGTTCACGTATCACGGAGAAATCATACCTGGAGGCCCTCCTCCGGAGTAAGGCGGCGGGTAACCCGGATTATAACTCTCCTGGGGCGGATATCCGGGATTCGGCGGGTAACCAGGATTCGGTGGGTAGCCGGGATTCGGCGGGTAGCCGGGATTCTGCGGGGGATAATTACCTGCACAGTCAGATTTCGGCAACGTAAGTGTCGACGTTGCAGCGCGTACACGCAGCGTGTAAGAAACCTCGATCGCAAGCAGTAACAACTCGAACGTCTGTGCACTAACAGCAGCCACTACGTTTCTTTTTTTTTCTTTTTCTTTTATAGTGCGTGTCTTATGCTGTTTTGTGACAATCAACTTTTCACGATTGTGTGCAGCGGTAAAAATGTTGGCCCCGCGAGCTCTATGCTCGGGCACGAGAAACTCCCGTCGTGATATGTTTACGCATGGATACGTTACGTGAGCGTGTTGTATCGTGTGAATCGAGTGCAATCTCGTCGCCAGAGCGACATCGATCGGTATATCCTACTGTCAACGCGATTTCATTCTACAGATATAATACCGACTCACTAATGATGTTGTTTGCTCCCGAGATGTCAGTTGGAAGAGAGAAAAAAAACCAATCGTTGTCACAACGTGCTTTGAAATATTACATGGAACGATTATATGGAATATATACATATATATATATATATTTTTTTTTTCAAGCAAACGATATACGATGCTTATTGCTGGCCGAGTGGACCGGTAATGGACGAGTTTATAAACGGTATATAAAAGATAACAAGATGAAAGATATAACAATATAAGAAATATATTATTGATAACAGAAAGAAAAAGATCAGAACCTTGTTGCCCCGGATAGAACCCCGCACCAGGTGTGCTTTGCCAAGTAGTCATCTTTTTGGTTTTGTTTTAGCTGAAAAAAAACCCTATCGTTATGACCGGCTCTCACTTGGGGGTTTAAACGACGTCCGGTTCGAAGCCGCAACGCACGGCGTGCCTTAAAAAATGTAACATTATATAACATTATTATGAGGGGGAGGGGAAAAACACGTCACACACCACTGCAATGTAAAAGCAATAAAAATACAAACTTGTATCGTAATCTTTACTGAGTACTCAGTAATCTTACTGAGAAGTGTATCTTATAATTAAATATATCTTACACATACGCATTCCAGCAAAAAAAGACGAGCGCCTGAAATATGTTAAAAGCATGGTAATCTGTTGCTTTAGAAATTCTTCAGCGATGCTTCCGTTTTACAGTCGATCACAGAACAATTGCAACACTATCTTGTTGATAAACTTCGGAACGCATTCCGCGTCCGATAAAAGAATTCGTCTTTCAGTCGTTCTTAGGAGATGCACTCTCCTATCGGATACGAAATGCGTTGCGAAAACTAAACGAAAAGAAGTGTCGTAACCGTCTTGCGATCGATCGTACGGAAAGGAGTAACGAGCGAGAAACGAAAAGAGAAAGAAAACGGCACGGGCGAAAACGCTAGACGCAGATAATCGGGTAAGTTCGCGGTTTATTTGTCCAATGAATCATGGACGAGCATCTGGAAAACAAAAGAGCAACAAAATCCTTACGCGCATTCACACGCGAATTTAGATTTTAAAAACACTCAGGTATTATCTTATCTACATTATCTCGGCGGTCAGATTCGGAGAAGTATATCGTCAAATTGAATCGATTATCAGACAAATTATCTTATTACGCACGAATTAGTAATAATAGACGGTGACGCATTAGTATATTCGTGTGTTGTCGATTTGACTTGCTGTGAAGAAAAGAAGGGAGAAAAGCGATTTCATGGTATAGACACGTTCGAGAAAAGTCGAGTGTTCGTCGAACCGCGATTGCTCCACTTTGCAAAACAAATGATGATTCGGTATTTACAAGCAAGCGGTTACGACGCGAGCGGAGGCGGACAGATATGTAATTATTCTCGGGAAAACCCAACAATGTTAATATCGTCGATGCGAAATCGCGCATGAAACGTGCATCGAAAATACCTGCACGCTGTCGAGTTTCCCCGCGCGTCTATAGTACGTCTTCGCAAGCTCTCGCACCTTCATCCAGCCGTTTTCTTTCCACGGCGCTATTATCGCGATAACGCGATATCTCGTCGAGATTATCGTCCGGCAATCGTGATACTTGGGTGTGAAAACTTCGCGTGTATGTACGTGAGCGCGCGCGTGCACACGCACACACCTGTGCACGATCCGTCTGCGTGTATTCACGCCACACGAACAGTGGTTAAGATGTGTGCGTGCCGAGAATGATGCTTCATCGTGGCGGCATCGAAGCTCGGCGGGAACGGGAGGCGTAAGAAGAAATACAAATGAAAGGAGGAACAGTGTCGGCAAATCTGACGATTAGAAAATCCGGGACTACGTGGGAGACTACGCGGAGAAAGCTTTTCGCTTGCCAAGCGTCGGCTGCCGCAAGGTCGAGCTTATATTATCGGCTCGTGCAAGTTCGAAAGTGATTACAGGCCCGCCGGACGGCCAACGAGCCGCTGTCACGCGAAACTGCGCTCTCGTTCCGCACGCGAATGTCAAGCGCGCGCGACGAACGAGGTCGTGGCGACTTCACCGCGACGAGCGAGAAAGAGACAGAGGCTCGCGCGGGCGTTCGCAACGAGGCGTCGCCGGACCGATCGGACACGTTGCGCGGCTTTCGACACGTCAATCCGATGCGTCACTTTGTCCTTTCTGGAAATAGTCGTAATCGATAATCGTGCCCGCGCGCGGAGCCGAGTTATTGCGATGCGGAAGTGTGATTTACCTCGGAACTCGCGGCCCTGTTTTCGACGAGACGACGTCCACCGATGGGTCGACGAGCGAGAAACAGCACGCAGCTCGTGGAACGCGAAACGCCTATTTATTCTCCGCCGTTGATCGAACGACGACAACGCAATCGCACGTAATGCACACACACACACACAGGCGCGCGCGCGCACGATCGGATGCCTGATGCACCGTTCGATGACGACGACCAACTTGCTTTCGACCGAAGTGCGCCGCCGAAATCGAGCGACGTGAAGTGGACCGATCTTCCGGGTTATGCGGTTCCAAAGCGCGTGCGCCTGTTGTCTCCGTCTCCCTCCCACCCATGCAGCTGTCTCATATGTCCCGCGCGAAAATCTTTGTTTCCCCGAGTCTTTTTCTGAGAAAGACAGTCGAATGGACGGATGGACAGGTGGTTCTGAGAAGACAGCGGTCACGGCCAGCTGCAAACGCGAGAATACGGGGTAGTTTCTATCCAAGCCTTCAATTCGGCTTTACTTTGGGGAGGAGCGAATGTGGTGTTTCCGTTAGAAGTGAAGTAGCGGCGAAGATAAGTCGCATTTTCATTGACTTCGGGGCCGGTTGTTCTCACATGGAAATAAACTACAAGAATACTAGTTCTTACCGAAAAACGGCGTGTTGATTGGCTACCGCGCGAATTTCCGCCGCCCGGCGCAAGCGTTGCCGCATCCTGTGGGCAGAAGCGATTAGAGCAAGACAAAATATATTTGTTTCACTTTAACTGCACTAGTTCAGCAGTGTAGCTAAAAGGAGCAGACCACATCTGAAAACTAGTACCTAGATGTCCCAAACGTTGAGGAGATTTCAGCCAGCGGCACGCGATGCTTGTTACGTGCTGAATAAAACTGCGTTCTGATTGGTGCATTGCCAAAAATGACAATCCATCAAAACGCCAGTATTTCCACCCAGCAAACATCGTATGCCGCTGATTTGATTCCGCTGCTTTCTCGTGTAATCCTCCTCCATTCCGTTGCATCGAATTGATAAGCTAAGATTCCTTTAATATCCCTTTCACGGAGTAGATAGTGATGGAGACGTACCCTAAGGATGTCCGCAGCCAAAATTGAGAACTAGATGTCCTCCCAGCTTCTTTCAGCCATTCAAGAGAACGAAACGGAACTCCGTTTCTACTGGCCACGTGCGTGCTGGCATGGTCATGTTTAAAAGTCAATCACATATGAAATTATATCTCTTAATAACAAACGAAAGAATACTCAATTATGGGTTCATATCAAATACACAACATCAGGTTTTATAATCCTGAACCGAAATCCGTCACTTGCATGTCTCATGAGCCAAAGACAAAGAAATTGGCTCTTGCGAGGTTAGTACATCGGTATTTGTATTATTTATTATTATCGATATTTATTGTTATTAATATCACTTAACAATCGTGTACGCAGTTATATATATATATATATATATATCTCTCTTAATCTTCATTTAAGGAACGATAATTCTATAGAAGTATGGAATGTTATGAATGCGCCGTTCGTCGAGTGCACTATAGCCGGTTCTAAAGAAAACTTCGTGGAAAGCATACTCTGGATCGGCTCCAGGCTATTCTCAAGCAGCCTGCATGGCGCAGTGGTGGAGTACAACTTATCGACCCTGAGGATCAAATGCAAGGTTATGGTTATAGGAGGCACAGCCTGGTGCATGGATGTGAATCATGAGAAGAGCCGTTTGGCTGTCGGCACGGAGGAAGGATACATCAATATCTTCACAGTAGACGACGAGAAACTGATTTACGAGAGGATATTCGACAAGCAAAAGGGCAGGATTCTGTGCATCAAGTGGGACAATACAGGTGAAATGATTTACACAGGCTCCGTGGATACCATCAGGGTGTGGAGCGCTGTGTCTGGTCATGCGATACACAAAATGACGACTTTCAGGAATAAGATTAAGAGAGAGACGATAGTCTGGTGTCTGGCGGTCACCGATGAAAACGTCATCGTTTCCGGCGACTCGCAGGGTTTCCTGTGCTTCTGGGATCCCAACCTAGGAGTGATGATCGAGTCCCACGAGAGTCACACGGCTGATATACTGGCCATCGCACTGTCTCAGGACAAGTCGGTTGTGTATTGCACAGGCGTGGACCCAGTTGTTAGGACCTTCTGCAAAGTCTCGCTGAAATCCAGCGGGAAGTTTCAGTGGGTGAGAGGGATCGAGAGGAGGCTGCACGTCCACGACGTCCGGGCGCTCGTGGAGAGCAACGGCAAGCTCTACTCGGCCGGAGTGGACGGATACTTGGCTGTTTCCAGTTATCCGCCGAAGAATCTCGTCAAGTATCCTCCTTTGCTGCAAGTGACTTGCGCCGCGACCTGCCGGAAGAGCAGGTGTATCTTGCTGCGGTATTCGAACTATCTAGAACTCTGGAGGTTGGGTTCAGTTGCTAAGGACCAATCGAACGTTGACGGCCAGTCTGTGGAATATGAATTGGACGAAGAGCCTATCAAGTTGCTGCGATTAGACATGCAGGAGGACGAGAGCATAATCTCTTACGCCATCAACAAGGACTCCAAGACGATCGTGTACTCGACGGACACTCACGTGAAGGTCTTCAACTTCGACGTGATTCAGGGGGACGCGCAACTGACCGCCAACGACACCGACTTGCCCATGCAACGGGTACAAAAGATGCTGTTCAGTCCGAACGGCAAACTGCTCGTGACGATCAACAACAACGGCAGCGAGAACACCGTGACGTTGTTCCGCGTGGAGAAGAAGAGCCTGAGACAATTGGGCTCCTTCCAGACGACGAGGGAGTCCATTTCGAATGTCGGCCTGGTCTGCTTCTCGCCGGACAGCAAGTACCTCGTGTGCGCGGACCGGCAGTGCAGAATAGCCATTTACTTCATCGGCGATGGCGTCGCGCCCGAGTCGCTCAAGGCGTGGCAATTACCGAAGTACAGTTGCCCACCGACGGCGATGGCGGTGCGGAAGGAGACGCTTAATCTGGTCATAGTGTATTCCGATCACAAGGTGAGACAGAGAGAGAGAGAGAGAGGAGGTATCAACAGAGGAATAAAGAGGAGGAAGTAACTGCCGTAAAGTAACGCGCCTCGACGATTTAAATTACGCGATGCACGGCGCGACCCCGTCGGACATTATACAACGACGTTAAAATAATAGCCACGAACGCCGAATAACGCGCGATCGTAAAGCACGGCGTACAACAACGTTTAATGACCCGAACGGTAAGGAAAAAAAACTCGCGCGTTAGCGCGGCTTCATCCTTGCGCGACGTTACGCGTAATTGCCTCTATAAACTCGTTATTGAGTCATCCGTCGATGCGGACTCTATGAAGCCTTGCGCTTTATTATCTCGGGATGTCGCGACGTCAAGTTGTCGAGAAGCGTGACGGTTGCGTTAACAAGGAGATTGTACTGGAGGCTACGTTAACGCTGTTCCTTATAGTGTATAGTGCCATCGAAAATTTCCAATCGGGAGCATCGTTTGCGCATCATGACTGCTGATAATCCGATGAATCGGCGAACGATTCTCCAAAATAGCAATCACGACGTATAAATATTTAAAAATAACGCGTCTGATTTTGGAAATGTCCATTACTATTGGGGGCACCCATAAGTAGTGTCGTTTTTTTTTTTTCAGATTGAATGAATATCCACTATGAGGTTTTGAATCCCAATGAAACCATAACTGCTGAATATTATTGTACACAGTTTGACAGACTGAACATCGCCTTACTTCAAAAATATCCAAGGCCGATTGATTGAGAGGGTGTCATTCTCCAGTATCAAAAAGTGACATTACTTATGGGCATTTTTATGTTACTTTGCCTAGGGAGTGGGACAGCGTTAATGACACTAAGATACATTCTAACTGGAAGAAGTACTGGACCTCGAAAAGCGAAGCCGACAAAGAAACTAACTTTAGGCCATCCTCTCTTTATTATACGTGTATACGTCGTTCATTTTAGAAAGAGATAGGTAGAGGTACAAATAAGAGATAGGTGGCCCTAGATATCTGTCTGTCTTAGGTTTTCCGTCCATAGACGTCATATGTGGCAGTGCCTCTTATAGTAGACTTATATTCCAGTGATTAATGGAGTCTGTTGTACAGAAGACTATTAATGCCGTCCTATTTGCCGTCCCAAATTCCATCGAAAATTTTTAATCAGAGGCATTATGAGCAAATACTCGTACATCATAATTGTTGAGAATTTGATGAATTGTCAACGATATTCCAAAGCAGCAGTCATGATATACAAATATTCAAAAATAACACGCCTAATTGGCAATTTTTAACGTTACTATACTCAGGGATAGCTTTAACGGAATCTTCTATATGATGTCGGTTGAATGTCATGAGCTGAAGTTATGCTTTTTTTTTTTAGCTGCACCAGTGCTGCACTAGAACTTTGTTTTTTTTTTTCCAACATTGGTTGCTTGCTTCACTTTAAAGGCAAAAAGTACAATCTAATTCAGCTAAAAAATAAACCTCTTAGGGCTGCGTTCCGAAACCGTAGTCGACAGGTAGAATACCATTTAATTAACCAATCCTGATAAAAAAAATTTTGCTTTTCTTGTTCTGATCGATCAATTTAATGCTATTCCAACTGTCGATTGCGGTTTTGGAACACCACTTAGGCCTGTTTTTCTCAACTAGTACTACATTAGAACTTCGTTTTTTTTTCCTCAACATTAGCTCGCATATTTGTTTCGCTCTAACGGCAAAAAGTGCAACTCGGTTAAAAAGAACAGACCTATCGTCAAAGTCGACTCTTCCCATCGAGCATGATCGACGGTGCTAGTCTTTAAGGTCCACCGAAACATATCCTTTTAACCCCGTTAATCGTAAAAAACGAGAAATAAGTCAAACGAATTAACTTTCAGATCGTCGAATACAATATACCGCGCAGGCAGTACACCGAGTTCTCCAACAACTTGCAAAGCCGCCTACCGAAACAGTGGTTGGCGCGTCAATACCCGATTATGAACATCATATTTGATCCGCACAATGAGAACATCATCATAATGCAGGACGACTCAGGCATGTACGTTATCAATAAGAACAGCGAGTCGCCTCCGGAGAAGGAGAGGAAGAAGATCCTGAGGCGCGAAAACGGCGAGTGTACGGAGGACAGCAATTCAATGTCAATGTCAAGCTGGCAAGTTCAACACGCATTCCGGGTCATCAAGAAGTACAAGGTAAAAACGTTGATTAATTTGAAACAATTTCGTCCGGAGCGATTAATTAACAGCGTTAATTAACCGAGAGAGAAAGAGAGAGAGAGAGAGAAAATGTTATTGTGGTTTTGTTGGTTGCAGCATCTCGTCTACTTAAATTGGCTAAACGACGAGGAATTGGTCTCGGTGGAGGTGAACCCAATCTCGTTGGCCGAGAAATTACCACCCACGCTGAAGCAGAAATTCTTCGGCATATAAACATTGTACACGTAATATACAGTACAGTTACACGTACAGTATACGGTACAGTAATATGCAGTTTTAATATTCGATTTAATAAAATCTCTTTTATATGTACATATCTTACATATACATATATCTTATAAAAGTCTTAGATGTCTTATAGAAGATCTTATATGTGTATGTATATATATATATATATATATATTATATATATTTCTTATAGAAATTGCTTTTTTATGATACCCGGCCCTCGAGAAGACGAAGCGCTTATTTCGATCTTTCCTTCAAATATGCAGATACGCTCGTTTCATTTAGAAAAAGCATGGTAAACATTAAAGATACAGCTAAAGGACCCACCTGCAATAGCAGCAATAGTAAGCTAATTGACCAATTAGATTCTCACGGTCCAAGAATAATCGACCGTGGTCGGTCAATTAGCTCACTACTTACATCTTACTGCATATTTTAGATCCGATCTATAATAGGTATTTTAAACCTTATGCCTTGAGAAATTGACTAATCACAGTTAATTATTCTCTTCACACTCGACTGTGATTGGTCAATTTCCTAAGGCTTAAAGTTTAAAACACCTATTGTAGACCAGGATTTACGACTATTGCAGACGGCTCTTAAAAACTCGAACGCACGATTACCGAAACGAAAAAATCACAATGACACGAATGATCTTCTTCCTTCTTCATGGATCATTGAGCAATCTCAACCGAGAAAGATGAACTTTTGTTGTTGCATCGCGCCTTGCAATTCTGGGTTATCCGTGGATGGCTCGATCGTCCACCTAGGCGAGACGTAGAGACGACCCGTGAACTCCAGGCTGTGTTCCGCGCGCGACGAGCGATGGCCGATGGCCGCGGATGACGTTTTGGGGACAGCTGGCGAGGCTTTCAAAGGAATCGGTGAACGTTCGACCGCGTCTTCCGGTGGATCACGCTTGAAAGTACCCAACGGAAGTGCCGCTTTTCTGCATTCTTCCATCAGCACCTACGGTCAGTGACACGGGACGCATTGAAATTCGTCTGCGGTCTGCAGCGCGCGCGGATGTTTCTCCGCGCTCGGCGGAGTTCTTTTTTCTCCCTTTTCTATTTTTTTTTTTCGTTCTTTCCCTCTCTTTTTAAGCTACCTCGTTGGAAAATTTCCCGGTCAGGTGCCCGTACTTGCGCGACCACGATCGTTGCGATGTTTTCTCGCGCAGGTTCGTTTCCTTGCTGACAAACAAATCGTGTTCGGGAGGAGTGAGCGTTATCGTTCACATGAATAACGTATATTTTAATAGTCGTTAGTTAAAACTCGCCTCAGGTGAGTGAGAAACTTAAATTTGAATTTGGAGTTAGATGTAAGTTTCCAGTTAAATTATGGTTACAAATACAATGTTGTAGATATTATATATTTTCAGATTCAAATAAAAAAGTCGAATGTAACTAAATTCAGATTTGAGTATATCGCGTGAGACAAGTTTAAAGTAATGACTATTAAATGGCCATAATTATGTAAGAAGGATCCAATCTACATGAAGTACGTTTCGAGAAAGATGAAGATAAAAATTTGATGCATGATTTAAAAAATATAAATAGCACTGAGGTTCTTCACAATCGCTCAAGGAGTCAAACATGATCCATTCTCTTCTCTTTAAGAGTACTCATTGACAAACTTAACCCTTTAAAAATAAGTCATACGCATTTAATAAAAAATGATACAATTAGTAGAAAATAAAAATTGTTTTTTAATTAAGTCAAAAATAGGCCATAATGAGCAAAACAGGTTAAGTGCTATATATTTATATATTTATAACAAAATTTAAATTCTACAAATAGAAGTTAACATAAATAGAGATTGCGTTTACAATCATTTAAATTATCATACGTTTCGATCTTAAATTGGACCCTCCTCAGTGGTGAAACAATAACATCTACAGTGTACAAACGCGCATAGACATACGCATAAAAGAAAGTCAAGTGATATAAAATTCGTCAAAACGCGGAGGCAGAGAGTGATACACATCAATATCAATTCACATCGAGAATAAACATAAAATCCATATAAAGCAGAACAATCAAGAGCGAAAAACATAAAGATTTTTACAATACAATGTATGCTGAGCTATATTTAAAAAGAAAAGTATTTATTGTTTTTTAATTAGTTTTAGGAATCCGTAAGATTTTGATCTTTTTGTTTTATGCAGAAAGACGTATAGACTATCCATTAGTAACAAAGATTCAAAAATCCGAATTTTGTGGATCCTTCTTGCACAACTACGGCCAATTAACGGACTCAAGTGTCATGCGCGAGAATTATCGAAAGAAATCGATGTATTTACCGAATATTGTCAGCGACCACTTCATTCTTGAACGCGATCCCGCGCGATTTCCCCATAGTGACCACCCTTTCGGTCACTTTCTTGCTTTCTTTGTTCTGCTTCTCCTCAGACATACGTCGCTTCTCCTCCGATATCCTTCTTTATAACGGGCGAGTTGCTCAATAATGAATCCGTCGGAAGCGTATGCGCGTTTGTTCGATGCCACGGCGCGTCGCTATAGTTATCCGCGGCTAATATCGAGAAAATTGTGACTCGCGCGCGCGTCTTCTGGAACGAGCACGAGACGGCCGCGCACTTTTTCACCCGCGTTTAAAACCTTGCGAATCGTGCCGTGAACCAAACACGTCGTGCGCAAAAAAATTCGCAAAACCCGGGAGAAAAAAGATCATATATGAAATTTGCCCTTATATGGCTATATATAATCGTGTGTGTTCGCAACGAAAAATATTGCTGTTTACAAATTATATAATATGCAAATACGATCGAAATAGATGATCCTGGCTACTTGTGTTTCTGACAGCACATGATATCGACATTTAATTAAATGATGTAACATCATTTTTTCCATACGGACATATATGATCATATATGTAACCACGTATATGGACCAAATTCATATATAATTTTATATAATTATATATAATCATATATAATCATTTTTCCCCGGGAATGTCACACACAAAGTGAAAGTGGCGGCTCCCCAGGTAGAACGGAAAATGCCTAGATAGATAGATAGAAATGTTGAAATATAATAAATATGCATTTAATGTGTGCTTTGTGATACCATTGCTACAGCACAACATGGTTAAAATATGCTTGTCTTGAAAAATATTCATTTATTAGAATTTTAATCGAAATATCGACTTCTTATTATTACAATAATTCCGGGTTAATTGCGTTCTCTTTCGGGCAAAGTAAGCAACAATATTTATGGCTGAGTCAGAGTATCGCCGCGATTCTCACGGCACCAATTGATCTTCTTCCACATATTTACTAAATGCTTATTGTATAAGGACGCACATTTTAATGCACTTATGTCTGCATCGAGCTAATCACGATGCTAATGCGGACGAATACTGAAATATGCTTATCTGGGTGTCTGTGACATCAAAATGACGGCCATATTCAGAAAATAATCGAAAAGTGATTTTTCATAGTAATTTCTCGTCATTTCAACGTCATCGCGATTTCCTGTTCTGGGTAGTCGCTCCGCGCCTCCGACCTTCCTCTCCGTTCGCGTACTATCGGCGCGTCCCTTTTCCCCGTCCCTCCGTGACGTCGTCGGTTTCCCAATTCATAACTCGAAATGCGCTGACTGCGTCGAGAGAATTACGGTTCCGAGATCGGAGCTGGCGCAGACCGGGAGATCTCCCGTGAATCCGCTATCGATAGAATGTCGTCGTCGTCACGGGCGCTAACTCCGCGGCTGCAGAGCCATCGCTTAGACGAGGGCGAGGACCGACCGCCCCGCGTCTCTCCCTTTCCCTCTCGACGCAGACTGTCGAAGTAGTCGGGAAATAATCAAACGAACGACGTAGCGTCTACCCGGGCCGAGTACACGAAGCGCACGTCGATGTCGATGTTCGGCTATGAGAATGTACGACCGGCGTCGGAGAGAGGATGTGGTGGAGAGCGCATCGACAGAGAGAAGCGTTTATTAACAGAGGAGACAGAGAAAGAGAAGGGACACGAAGAGAGAGACAATGAGCGGGAGAGAGAGAGAGAGAGAGAGAATGGAGACCGAGGACACTGCAGAGTGCAATGTACCCAGATTACGACTAATCTACGCTTGAGACCGCTCCGGAGCGTCTCTGTAACTTACATCGCTTAAAGCGTCAGCCCGTTCAACCCCTGACTTCGACGCCACCGTATGCGCCTTCGTCGTCGTCACTATCTCCCTTCATCTCTCTCTCTCTCTCTCTCTCTCTCTTCCTCTCTCGGTCTTTCCGCTCTCGGTCTAGCCGTCTATCTATCCGTCTGCCTTCGCCGTCGCATCGCCGCTCGATCCATACCCCTGGGAAAATCGCCCCTCTCCGCCCCCTTCTGTTTCCCGATCTCTCTCTCCTCCCCGGCCCGGCGAAATTCGAAAGTTCATCGTCGTGCCCACTTGCCATCCGCGAGACCAGTGAGAGCAGCTAGTTGGCAAGTTTGCCTCTTCCGCCGCTGCTGGAAGCAGCGACGAGCTTTTTCGCGAGCGCGAAATTAGTCGGAATTGTAACACCGCCATCTAGATAAAGATAGTCGTGTAAACGCATTTTTGCAAAGACGTTCGGATCTCTATCGTAAGCTACGTTACCGCAGCGATTGCAACGCGATTGCAACGCGATCGGTGGGAATAAAGTTGCACTCGTATGGCGAGCGATATCCGCGCGCGCGTCCCTCGTAAAAATTTATAACTGATGAGGGATGGGGTTGCGCGTTCGTGCTCAGGTGAGACGAGGCCTTACGTGAACTCGGTGGAACGAATTAGGGTGCGAAAGATGCCGACGATTCTAAATTAAAGCGGCTACCTCGCCGCTTATTCAGCGCGAATCGATCGGGAACTTTGCCGCGCGAACCGCAGACGCATATTTCGTACTTCGGCACGGAGTTTGTTTTTGTTACGTAATGCCGGATTTAAGCGAGCTTTTTCTCTACGGCCATAGAACAGTCGTATAAAGAACGCGAGGGGGAGGCTGAATCGCATGGGTAGATCGTGTGTGCGAACGTTCCGCGGACTTTCCGCGCCTTGCGCGCGAATACATCCGCACGATCGTATTAATAAATGTCGCGAAAAGTTTCGCTCGTCTGACTCTCGACGACGAGTCTCTCTCTCTCTCTCTCTCTCTCTTCCTCTCTCGTTTCTTAATGACCGGTGAGAAGAGATACGCGACCGTCAACCGTGAACCGACGGGGCGACAAATCAAACGTCGTATCATCAGACAGCAATTATCTCTCCTTCGTCGCGTTCCGCGCCAGGCGCTCCGAGGCGCGTGAAAAACGATCTCGCAATCTATACGCGAGATTTACGATAACGTCAGTGAACTTCCGATCCCAGTCACTCGAGCCGGTATCGGATGGCGGAAAAATGAAGAAGCGTCGAGGGGAGGCAGAGGAGGAGGGAGAGAGAACGAGCGGTCGGAGGGCACGCGGAAAAACTCAAGCGCGAGGAAGTGCGAGCGCGCGCGATCTTAGCCGGTTAGGTGCGCGAAAGAGGCGACGGGATGGAGCGGAGAGTGACGAGGGTGGAAAGAGAGCAGAGAGTGAGAGAGAAAGAGAGGTGGAGGAGAGAGAGAGAGAGAGAGAGAGAGTTGGCGGATTCGTGGGTGTAGGGACACGGCGGGGCGCGCTGTAAATTACAAGCGGAGCGCCAAACCGCTATGGTCTTCTCTCGGTGGCGCAGGGGTGTCTAGACGTATAGATAATGCCGGGCTTGTGCCGGGGTAGACGCAAGCTAGACGGTCCCTGGTTGATCCAGTCAGCCGAACCAGCCAGCTACCCGAACCAGCCAGCCAACCAGCCAGCCAGCCAGTCAGCCGGGTTACGCTAGACACATCGACCATGTTCCGTTTCTCTTCGTTTCTCCCGTTTCCACTATCTAGCTATCTGCCCGCGTCTCTTTCTCGCGCCCGCCGCGACCTACAGGGTGGCCCCAAATCAAACGTCTGTCAAACAGGACCGGCTGAATTCCTGGACTTGTTCGTCCTGGACGGATCGATACGCGACGAATTTCCCTGCCGGACGTCAGCGGGTAAGTTGCGTCGCGTCGCGAAGTCTTAGGTAAGGTCGTAAGGTCCACGCGATCTCGTTCGAGGGATTCCTCGGAATTGAGGAGTTTACGAGGGAACGAGCTTGATCGTGCCGCTTCGTGCGCAGAGCTGCTTCCAGTTCTCGTTTCTCGCTGTTTGACAGTGACGAATCGCAGCGATGTTTACCACGCAAAATCTGGAGGGTCTTATCACGAATTCGAGAAATCTTCAAATAACTGAGCCTCAAAGTGACGTAAAACATTCGGGAGGTAAGATCGACCTGAAATCGATCGGGGAATCGGGAGCGAGAATGCCCCGTGCGACTCGACGGCTTAATTTGGAGGCACCCTGTACGCGCACTGTCCTCGTCTTACTCGCGCTCGCGCCTATATAGACGGCGCAACCGGATTTCCCATCGTTCTCGTCGCGCCAGCCAGCTCACGGACGAGAGCCTCACCTCTCGTGCATTCGGCGCGGCCAGGAGATGCAAATCCCCAATAGCATCACCTGATATCCAAGATCCCATTGGCAGCGATCGTGACGTGGATGATGCACGAGACCGTCGCCCAACTACCGCCATCCCGTCCCTCCTCTCTCTCTCCTCCTCCTCCTCCTCGTCCTCCTTCTCTCCTACTCGCCCTTCGTCTACCTCCGTCTTTATCTCTCCCTCTCGACACCAGCCACTCGTGTATGCACCGCAAGCGCATAGAATTATTCCGTTTCTCCGCGTGCCAGGGATCGCCGGCTCTCCGTCTCTGTTTGTCTCCTTCTTTCTCTCTCTCTCTCTCTCTCTCTGTCCCTCTCCTTCCTCGCGTCCTGGAAAACTCTCGACTCTTGAACGCGATTCCTACACACGGCGCCGCTGCAACGGCTGCAATCTCGGCGAGACAGGGAACTTGGACGTCGCTCGTAACCCACCGTCTAAAACAGAACATCCGGACTGTGGCATTACGAAGATCCGAAGAATTCGTTTCTCTCCAAAATTCTTTTCCGCATTGAAAGAATCGGTTGAATATTTTGTGTCTGTGCTCGTCCGACGGCGTAACATTGTATAATTGATATAGCCCGGTATTTCGAAATTATTTCAACGACGCTTAAAGTATAATAATTGGACGGTAGAGTGCTGAGTAATAAATTTTTGAACAAAATTCAGGCAAATATATACATATGTAATATTACAAACACGGAGATATTATTTATTTTTTATTTTTCTTATTAAAACTTTATTTATACATCAGTTGGACTAGTAAAAGCGCACACATAATAGAAAGTAATATATAAATATTTAAACATTTAATATATTTGATTTAATATATATATATATAGGGTACATTTTATATTATAAATTGTAAATTTCTTATAATTGCATTTTCAAAACAAAATGG